AAATATGTTTTGGTATGTAAAGCAATAATTATCTGCTGTTGTTTGTTACGCTTGTTCTATTGCAGCATTTGGCATTTTATTTGGAAGTGCTACATTATGCGATAAATAAGGATCTGAAGCACTGAAAGTTTTACAAAACTAAACGTATATATCATCTTTATTTATTTCTTTCTTATTACTGTATGTCTGCATGTGTGCCATTATAATATGAAACAATTAATTACAACTTTGTCCCTAAGCAACAGTGGAATTCCCTTCAGCACACTGATTTTGGCAACCTAAACCTTTTCTGGTTTTATATATGGCACAACTGCAAGAACTTTGTATGTTAATTACTTTCTATAATATCGTTTAGCCTGCAGCATTCCAAATTAAAAAAGCACATTTCCCCAGCAGAAACTACCCTTTTAACCCAATATTCCTCTGGTAAAACTTATGGAAACTGGAAGATCACTCTTACTTTCATCACCCCTATAAAAATAACATCAAAGTCATGTGCCCTGGATCCTTTTTTTTATATAAGGAATTTTCTGTATAATGGATGCTTTTCCTGCCTTCAGTGTCCATGTATACACAGCTGCACTAATTTTTTTCCATTAATTTAACTGATGTGCCTAGTACCATAAAAATTACATTTAATTCATCTCATATTCAAAAGAATCATTTCCCTTACAGAGAAACACAACTCATTTTGTTACAGCGTAAATAATGCTTACCTGTTCCTCCTGGCAAAGAGCACAGGTTGGATGATTTACCCATGAAGACCAAAGTAAGAGGGAACCATCATTAAAGCCTCGGCCACAGCACAGCTGGAAGCAGATGTTCCTTACCTGGCCACTTATTCCACACCTTCACTGACACAAATTCAGGACCACAGAGGCAAGTCAGAGAAGAAAAAACAAACAAGCAAACAAATAAACCCCCACAAATGCTCCAAAGAACTAAGTTTTAAACAGTGCTATTTAAAAATACAGACCACCTACCATCATTATTTATTTTAGGGGCTGAACTAAGCACAGAGAAAGACGCTGTGGTGTCATTTCAAGAATGAACTTGCTGTACACAACCTTCTGCCAGCAGATCTCAGTGAAGGATGGGACAGGATTTCACTCCCAAGGAAAGGCTGTGCCACCAGCAGGGATTCCCAGGAAAAGCAGGGAAGACGAGCAGGAGGCACGGAGGTGGTGTTTGACTAAAAACAGTGAGGTGAGAAGGGAAGGAGAATTGAGTCTGTCCAGTTTGGGATGGTAAAAGGAGGATCTGTTTTCCAAAGAGCAAGCAAGAACACCCCAGGGTTGACATCTCAGCGCCCAGCAGCTGCAGAAGCAGCAAAATTACTAATAAGTTGGTAAATAATCTGTCCATCTGTGGCAATATGTTTTAAAAAAGTTAAAACTAACAGTTCTGGTTGTATTTTGCCTAAGACAGGCTTTGCATACATTTGTGAGCGTGCCAGGCAATGCTAGTATTGGCATTATTCTACAAAGTCTATTTTCCCCTAAAAACAACCAGAAACATAAACCAGTTGTTTTGCCACCTCCCTTATTTTCTAACATTTTCTCTTTATGTGTGCTTGCAGGTCATATAGAAAACAAACTGAAAATGACATCTGGAGGAGTAAAAACTGCCGCTGAAAGAACTGCGTGTTGGTTTTTTTAAGGTGTCCCTATAAAACAGACACGAGGAAAATATTTTGCACCTGTTCTTACAAGTGCTCTGTTTAAAGACTCCAAACGGAATCACACAGTGTAAATAAACACCTGAGGAATATATTTAAACACGCTGTCATTTGAACACTTGGCTGCATGCTAACATATACACAAAGAAGGATATAGGAAAACAAAGCACACACAAGTTGTTTTTTTTTTTTTTTTACACAGTGACAACACAGGGAATATTTTAAGTAAACATTTTAAAGGCAAATATATCTAAAGAAAAGAATCCAATGCACGTTATTTCCTTTGCATCTTTCTAAACCACTAGAGATTTTTCTGTCTTCATGTGAAGTCTCAGAATTTGGCTTCTAAGAGGCTGTATCTGCTAGGCAGTTGTATGATACCTTTAAGTCTTGTGCCATTTAAAATTACCTGGGTTTTGGGTTTGTTGTGGTCACTTTCCAGGGCACATGAAATCAGATTGTAGCATTTGCCTCTCTCAGGCCCACGCTGCAGCTGCTACAGAGCTTCTGGGTAACACCTAGAAATGTGCCTGCCCCAATAAAGAAAGGACTGTATTTCCAGAAATTAGGTATTTGCAGTCTCAGAGAACCAGCAGTAAGATCCCCAAGGCAAGTAAATCCTTGGAGAACAGGTAGTGGGAAGATGGGCACTTCATGTCATTTGAGAAACTGCTTAAGTATACACCATCCCAAACAAGAAAAAAAAAACCAAAAAAACACAAAAGCTTGAAGAGAATTAACTTGACAAGCCACAGATTTCCCTACTGGTCTGAAATCATGAACAGGAACCACACAGGAGGTGACAAGTAGGTCAGATTACATAAAATAATGTATTAAAAAAAAAAAAAAAAAGGAAAGAAAAAACAAAAAAGCAAGCACAGCCAGGCAACAAAAGGGGACGTAACTGAAACACAGAACAATCCAAACACGTTCCATAATATTACTGATTGGAAGAGAAAGACTAGGAAGAGCTGACGCTCTGTTCAGTGAGATGAGGAGAACATAAAAAATGGCAGAGAAAATATCATCCCTGATTATAATCTTTCATCTGTAACATTACTCCTGCTTGTGTGTGGTGAGGGGTTTGGGATGGGTTTTTTTGTGTGTGTGTGGTTTTTGTTTGTTTGTTTTAGGAAAATGTGGACCTTTAAAGTTTTAAGTCTGTCAAACAAAAATATAATTATCAAGTTCCATTTTGTGCATTTCTTCCGTCTCTGAAACCCAGCTGTTTATCAGCATCCCCTGACTATAACAAAAGGCCTTTTCTAACAAAAACCAAACCAAAACAAACGCACCCCCCCCAAACCAGCCCATAACAGAACAGCACACAAATATTTTTAATGTTTTTCTTCTTGTTTTTGAAGATATTTAGTATTTGCACCTAAGTGCTTGGGAGGAGAGGAGGAGAAAGACTCCAGCATCAACTCAAACTTACATAAGACAGGTAACCCAAAAATAGCAAATATGAGGGTTCCTTGTGCTCCTGTGTGGCAGCACTTCCTCCAGTCCCCAGAGTCATTTGGGGACTTGATCCTTCAGTTCAGTTGAGACCCAAACACCACATTAAAGCAACCCCAACACAAAAGCTACGAACAGAAACACTGTAATCAGACTCCCTCCCAACAAGGGAAAAAAATCCTACCTAAAGCCCTCAAGTGAGAGATTCCTCCTGCCCAGTCTGCATTGTGAAGTTCTCCACTTTTACTGTGTTCTCTTTTTTTGGAGTTTCCAAAGACAGGAATGGAAGGACGTGCCTTGATGCAGGGAAAGGGGCTGATGGAAGAAGAAGAGCAGGAGGAGCCACAGAAGGTGCAGCCTTAAGAGTAACCAACCCCCTGTTCAGGTGTCCAAGTCCAGGCACTGGTGCTCATTCACAAAGGACAAAAGCTCACCAGGGGTTCTTTTCTAACAGAACTGCAACGTTTTATTAATGAATGTCTTAGAAACAACTGAAATACAAACTTTGAACCGTTGATTTGAACAGGAGATTCTGCTCCTAAGCAAAATTAAATTAAACATCCAAGAGAGTATGAACAGCACCCCAGAGATGCAGTCACACAGATAGAGAGCATCATACCTGGTGCCACAGACTTTTCTCATTAAGATGATGACTTACTAACAAAAAAAATGTTTTCCATTCTTAAAAAGCTGAAACATTTTATTCATTACTAACAGTGCATCCTTTTAACAAGGGAACATAAAAATACAAACAACAAACCGCAAAACCAACAACCCACAAACACAGATATCAGTTCAAGGCACAGACTGTTTCTGGCACAGGTGCAAGGCCCAAAGTTTCTTTATTCCAGCAGCTGTTTAGAGGTAAGTCATTGCATTTTAGAGGCTCAAAGGCTCTTGACACTGCCACAACCCTGAGTTACTGACAGAAAACGAGGTAGAATGAACTAACTAATGTCTTAAAACTGCACTTCCCAACCCTGAGAGGCCCAGTGTCTGAGTCCTGCAGAAGTGGAAAATAAAATATCATTTATTTGCTCTGCAGACTTCACAGGATGGTGCACCTGAGCGTTCCCCTCAGTGTTCTTCCTCAACCAGTAATTATTTACTCCAGCCCTGCCCCCAGTGCACCAATACACAACAGTCAAGAACATGTAATAATCCAAACAGGATATGGCAGAGTACCTAAAACCAAACTCAGCTGAGTTCACCTTTGGACAAAAGTGCCCTATAAACCAATTTGGCTTTTCCTCATGAACTCTTAGTAACAAAGGTAGACCTGAAAGGTGGTATTTTGGTGAGGTTTCTTTGGTTTGATTTTTTGGGGAGGCAGGAGGAGTTGTCTGTGTATTTAAATAAAAAAAAAAAGCTTTTATTTGTAGTTCTAGCAGTGATGCTGGGCCAAGAGTCTGCTACTACAAGGTCACCTAATTTCAAGACTTCCTGAAGGAACAAAGCTTTGGCAAACTGTTGAACATCTTTACATCAGCATGTTGCTTTTAACTCTACAGAAATCAGGAGATGCTTCAAGAACCCCTTGGGACTTTATCCTTAGTTTCAGCTCATTAGGAGAGGTACAGCTGCCCAAGCACAGGCTACAGACATGTAAAAAATATGCTCAAGTTTTATGCATCACCCTGTAAAAGGGTCCTGCACTTCACTGCACCCCAGTGATGACAATCCCGGGAGCTGTCTTGGCAAAAGGCATCCTTGGCCAAAACCTCTGCAGGCCACAGGGAGTGAACAGGCAGGATTTGACCCATCAGCAAGTCTGAGTGCACAGCCAGCACCTGCTGCTACAAGGTACAGCCATTCCACCACCACAGAGATGACAGTGTTCCAGTGACAGAAGGGCTCAGAACAGTCACTTGTGTTTGCACTGGCCTCGCTCACAGCACAGGCTCGCCGAGCAGGCTTTGGGAGCTGCAGGATCCTGAGAGCCTGGCAGCTGAGCGGCAGGCAGAATTCCAGGGGCGGATGAAGGGGATAAGGCAGCGGCATTTTCGCAGAGGAGGCTGCTGGGATTGAGAAGGGGGCACGAAACAGCAGCTGCCGCAGCCGCCTGCTGCCCCAGCAGAACTCCCAGGCTGTAAACATTGGAATTCAGGAGGGCATTGCCTGGGACCAGGACATTCAGTTGCTTCTGAATTTCCTGCAGGACCTGCAGCTGACTTTGGTGATTTAGGAGAAGCATATCCATGTTTTCCCTTACTTTCCTCACTGTCCAAAGAGAAGAGAAGGTTAATGCTCGCTGTGTCAATATACACTGCAGGGCCATTTAGAAACCTCCTCATACTTACACTCTTCAAAAACAAGCTTGGAGTGATCTCTCTCTGCACTGCACCTTTGCTCTTCTTTATGATGCACACACGTAAACTCAGGCTGGTTTGCAGCTAGAAGGGAGACAGTGGAAGACAAGAGTTGCCACGTGGGTGCAAACTAAGCCAAACCAGGCCAAAGATTATGCAGATACAGTCCCCTGAAACATTAAACACTTGGATTTTATCACAACCAAGATGCTCTTGCTTCCCCCCATCCTTTTTTTTGGAGGGGGTTGGGGGTGCAGGGAGAGGAGGAAGCAAAGCTGGAGCAAAGGATCTGTCAAGGAACAGGGGGAGTTGAGATTTAGTAAGATTGTGTTTGCACACTTCCTTAAGGAGCAGCTACAGTGTTAGACTGATCTGACACTAATTACTGTCCAACTGCCAGGGCAACAGTGAGACTTCTTCTTATTCATTATAAACTCTTACATCTAAAAATCTACTAAAAGCCATCATGGAAAAAAAGCATTAGGAGTGCAAGGTTTCACCTTTATGGCTGATTAGCAGAAGTTACTAGGCTAACTCTCTGTATCTATGGAGTAAGAGGCCTCAAACCCTTCCTCAGGAATTCAGTCTTGCCGTTTCACTATAAAACTTCATTAGTATTCACTATAATGTCATCGTTATTTCAGTTCTTCTGTCCAAAATTTTTTCCAGAAGACAAACAAAAGCAAATAATAATAATAAACAAAAAACCAAACAAAAACACAGAAAGGAAAAATTAAAAAAAAAAAAAAAAAAGCAAACGAGAAAAACCTCGCAAACAAAACATCTGCTCCTCATGTCTTAATTTCTCTGCAGTTTCATAACCTGGTGGTCAAGATCCTAACATCCAGACCAATTCCAGAGGTCTCTAGGCAAGATCCAAGATGAGAACTTCAAACGTTTTTGACCAAGTATAAAGGGACTGCCCAGGGAAAAGTACAACAACAGGAAAAAACCACAATGACAGTTTTTATCCCGCAGTTTCTGGTCATTACAGGAACATGAAATACTGCAAAGTCCAGAAAACTCCCTACTCGAGACAATGCCCTCATCTGACAGCCTGTGCTGTGCTAGGAACATTGTAAGCAGCCAGCAGAGACTTCCCACCGCAGACAAAAAACCCTACTCATTTAACACCCACAGATAACAAAAATCAGCTGCTGGAGATCAAGGCCCCGTTTCACAGTCCAGATCCCTTCCACATCCCTGACCCTTTGCATTTTGTTGGCTAAGCACTTCTGAAGATCTTGGACAAGACACCAGGAAACGCTGCGGAGTGGGAATTAGTGGGATCTGAAGGCTCTGAGAGTCCAAGGTCCCAGGCAGCCCTCCTGGCAACACCTAAATTTCAACTTTGGCATTTTCAGGCCCTTCTTCAATTGACAGAGATAAATATACAAGAAGGGAGGGGAAAAAAAAGTTAACACCACCAGACCCAACCAACCCAACCCCAACACTCCCATCCACAGCAAGGAGGGAGAAGCGCACAAGGCATAAACAGAGACCAGAATAACTGATACATCCCCTGGGATTCCTTACCACTGGAAATAAAAGGCAGCACAACAGATCTCAGCTCAGTTACCTGCTGTCTGGGTGCTGGGACACTCTCTCAGGTGTTGATGTTTGATGGAGTTTGGGCTCACAGGGAAGCTGTTTCCCCCCTCGTGACGCCTGTGGGGCTTCTCACCCGCATGGACCCTCTGGTGCTGCAGGAGACCCTTGCTGCCACTGAAGCTTTTCCTGCACATGGTGCAGGAGAAGGCTTTCTTTTTCAGATGGGTTTTCTGGTGAGCAAAGAGGTTGGAGGCACAGCTGAAGGCCTTCTCACATTCCTTGCACTTGTAGGGCCTTTCTCCCGTGTGGACTCTCTGGTGAACCACCAGGTTGGCCTTCCTGCTAAAGCTCTTCCCACATTCTGCACACACAAACCTTTTGTCCCTGCTGTGGATCTGCAGGTGGTTCAGGAGCATGCAGTGCCCCTTGAAGCCCTTCCCACATTCCGGACACTTGAAGGAAGGTTTCTGCTCCGGGGACGGTTTCTGGTCATCGGTGCTGAGGACGAGTTTCACGGAGCTTCTTTTCTGGGGAGGGGGCTCATTACAGGCTGCCCCCTTCTCTGGGGGTACCTGAGGCAGCTCCTCTTGCTGGAGGTCTTCAGGGATGCCTTTCTCTTCCTCGGTGTCCCTCAGAACGAAGCCCCCTGATGGAGGAAGAGACAGGGGAAGTTTGAAGACAAGAAGAAAAAAGGAGAGGGAAAGGCGGCAAAGGCAAGAAGAGAGAGGTAAGAAACCTATCCCCCTTCTCTCCCCACCTCCTTGCTGTTCTGCTCCTCAGGGAAGGGGAAAAATGAAGACTTCCAAAAGCAACAGGCTGAAACACCTTACCCATCACAAATATCTACTTTTAGCTACCTGCTCCTGCAGACTTTGCTCAAAAGCTTTCCAGCCTGCTAAATTAGCATGAATACCCTGTTTTAAAGGTGGGCATTTAGGTGGAGATCATTCAGCACCAAAAAGTCCACTGAACCCCAGCAGGCAAAACCAACAGGTTGTTTCTCACTTGTGTTAGTTCATATTTACTGAAAAAAAAATAAATCAGGTCTTTACAGGTTGGCACATCAGGGTTTTGCCCTAATTATCACAAGAACACTTGTAATTACTGTAAAGTTACTGTACATTTATGAACCAGAAGTCAAAGGAGTCTTTTTTGATAAAAAAATTAACTAATTCCCAAATAACTCTTACTGTTTTCATCTCTGCTAGAGCACACCTACTTTCCTTGCAATGACAAGCTAAATAAACTACATTCCAACGAAGCTCACCAGAAACATTCAAACACAGCCTTTTTTTCCTAAAGAATCCAACCCATTTATTTCACAGATGAGTGGGAATGATCACACACACACACACCCCAGCGAGCTCTAGATATCTTACTCTGCTGACTAGATCTTTTATTTACATCAGTTCATCATTAACTGAATTATAAGGATCACCTGATGCAACTTAGCCAAGCTTGATTTTTGCAAGCACACCTTCAGGTGTTCACTATTAATTCAAATGGAGAACTCAGCAATTCCCATCTCTGATCTGGAATTTAAAATATTACTCAAACATTTAACACAGAAGGTTTGTTACTCCACTAACACAAAAAAAAAAAAAAAAAA